CTCATGCGTAAATAGCTCGGTGGCGTAGTGGATAAGCGCCGCAGCCTGCGATCGTTGTCGTTAAGCAACTTTCGCAAGGGTCGGTCACGGGATGGGTGACCAAAAAATTATTATCTCGAGCTACTCCGTGCTTCGAAAGGCACGTTAAGTCGTCGGTTCCGACAGCATTTGCAGTCGTTAATACCATCCATAAGAAAGACCTGAGCCCCTGCAGTGGGGACGTAAAAGGGCTGATGATGATGATGACGCCTTATGCATTGTAAAGCACGTTCAGCCGTTGGCTTCTGTTGCATCTACAATCGTTAATACCCATTAACCCACACTGAGACACGCATTGTGTGTTTATTTATTTATTTATTTATTTATTAGGTAACACAACAGACATTAATCAAAATATAAATGAAATAATAAGTAAAAACTGTGTAGTACTAAATTAATATCCTAAAGGTGTTTACACAATGAGATATGATAAAGAAAAAACAACAAACTATTATTATTACTTTTACTAATATGAAAGAAAACAGAAAGAATGAGTATAAATCAATCTGGATGGTTAAAAAGATTCGACATTTAGGTCTACCACAACTTTCCCAATACATTTTTTGAATTTAAAGAGATTGGCATTAAATATGTCTAATGCCTGATTAACTGGGAGGATCTCATTATAATTTCTGCACATACGAGCGATGGGATTATGATAAGATATGTTATTTCTATATGTCGGTATGACAAAAGTTGGTTGCCTGCGCCTTGGATTATATTTGAAATTAATGTTAATAGATGAAAGAAGATATTCTGAGTCAATTACGGAATGAACTAATTTATGAAGTGTTATTAAATCATGTTGATAACGACGTGTGTTAAGAGATGTAATATTGAATTTACTCAATCTGTCCTCATATGACATCAAACCACGGCTGGTACCGAACTTTATACTTAATAGTTTTGTGAATTTCCTTTGGATTCTCTCAATTGCCATAGAGTGATTATTGTAGAAAGGATTCCAAATCGTCGAGCAGTATTCGATTTTACTTCTGACTAGGGAATAGTATAATAGAATTAAGCTTTTTGCCTTATAAAAGTCTTTAGTAATTCTATAGATAAAACCTAAAGTTCGCATTGCACTGGTAGATAAGGAATCATAATGGGCCCTGAATGTAAGTTTGTCATCAAAAATTACCCCAAGATCCCTAACCGCTTCGCTGCGTCTAAGGACTGTAGCTTCTAGTTGATAATCGAAGATACATTTGTTACGCTTGTTTGTGAAAGATATGACAGTGCATTTGTTGATATTTAAAAACATACTATTTAGAGCACACCATTGTGATATATAGTCAATATCCTTCTGTAGTTTTATACAGTCATCAATAGAATTAATCTGTTGAAAAACCTTGAGGTCATCAGCGTACAGTAAGCCCGGGCAAGATAGTTTTTCAGCGAGATCATTAATAAAGATCAGGAAGAATAATGGGCCAAGATGGGAGCCCTGGGGAACGCCAGACTTAATCTCTACGAGATCCGACAAAAAACCTTTAATGGCGACCAGTTGGTGTCTGTTAGAGAGATACGATTGGATCCAGCGGAAAAGTGACCCATGAATACCAAATTCACAAATTTTTCGGCAAAGTAAATGGTGATTAACCTTGTCGAATGCCTTTTTAAAATCTGTGTATACAGCATCTATTTGACCGCCATTATTAAATGCTTGAAACAAACAATGACTGTACTCAAGAAGGTTACTAACCGTGGATCTACCTTTTGTGAAGCCATGCTGTTTAGGCGATAAATAGGGTTTGATGTGGTGGTATACAAAGTCATAGATGATTGACTCAAATATCTTCGCTGGACATGACAAGATACTTATTGGTCTATAGTTTTTGCAATCACTAAGATCGCCACACTTATGGATAGGTATTATATGGGCAGTCTTCCAAACACAGGGAAATGTACCAAGGCGTAAAGATAAATTGAAGATAAGAGACAAAGGCAGGCTGAGCTGTTTAGCACATACCTTGAAGATTATAGCAGGAAGTTTATCAGGGCCAGCCCCCTTATTTATATCCAACTTTTTCAACTTTTTCAGTACGTCGACAGAAGTCACTTGTACCTTTGTCAATGACAATGAGCCAGAGAGAAGCGACACGTCATCACAATTAGAGGGTGTTACCGGCAAAGGGTTCTCGAAAACTGAGGCAAAGTATCTAGAAAAAAGTTCGCATACACCTTTGCCATCAGACGAGGACACCCCATCAAGTGTCATTGTCTGAGGAATGTCTTTACTGTTTCCTTTTTTAGAACGCACAAAGTTCCAAAACGTTTTAATATTTACCTCCAATGCATCCTCAACTGACAATACATATTTTTTATAACAAGCATTTAGTAAACATTTCGCACGATGCCGTAATAACGAAAATGTGTCATAATCCCTAGGATTAGTGTTATGGTTATCTCTGTTACTAAGAATTAAATTCCAAGTAAATAATCTTCTCTTAGGTGTTCTTACGGCAGTTGCACAAATGTCTTTTATTGTCATTAGTTTAAAGCAACATTACGGATACAAATTTCCAAATTTATATACATTAAAGATCAATGTAGTCATTAAATTTTTATGGACGTTTATGCAACGTACAGTTAAATTTTAAACAAGTATATACTAAAAGGTTGTTGTAATTAAATCAATTTTAATAGTTACCCGGATTATCAGCCTTTAGCCTCAACACTACGTAGCCATTGTTGGGTACGGCTAATGTGTCTTTAAAAGGCGGCAGATTGTACTGCCTGTGGAGCAAGCCTTTCCTGTCCAAGTCCAAGGCGTGCTTCAGGTTGATTTTCTTGATGTTCTTGTCCGGGGAGCGACCCATGCCAATCACGTTGTACGGGGTCCCGTGCAGGTGGAACGGATGAGACAAATTTGGTGATTGCACTGGAAATTATTACAACACTATAAAATTGTTTACTGTTTAGCAGCTCGATCATCCAAAATTTGTTATTATTATACCTAGCATGACGAATTCAAATTTAATCTAATATCGTATCGATTATAGTTTAAAAACATTGATTACTATTTTTTAATGTACATAAAATCAAAATTTCGTTATTTATTTTTAAATTATTTGTCTGTACACAAAAGCACATTAATGTCATTTTCAACTATGTGAAATAAAATATGTATAATACCTTCATCAACAAGCACGATTTCCACAATGGAGTTGAGCGGTACGTCTATCATGTGCGTGCATCTGCAGTCGACTGGGCAGTTGGCAGGCCTGTTGTCACCGTTACAAAACAATTCCGGGGGTAGGTCATGCATCTGTGACAGCGGTGGAGCTGGAGGAGCACTGTACGAGATCTCATCCACCAAACTTAACACGTGGTCACCACCAGGAGCCACTGAAAAAATAACAACAAAATACATGAAAATAAACTATCGTTAATAATTTAATAAAAAAGTTTTAATCTACAATATTAATTATTTAATCCTGAAAAAACGTTTGATATAAGAAATGTTGAGGTGGTTTTTTGGCCACGTCAATTCCAGTTTTAGATGAAATAAAAATTAGTGACTGAGTTAATAAACGGTACAATTTCCTTTCTTGGTTCCAAAGAGTAGTATTATAATTAGGCTTGGTTCCATTTACTCCGTGTTCGACAGTGAGGCGCCATCGGTGTTTTCGGGTTATACGGAATACGAAATTTTATCTGTGGATTCAACTTTTCGATGTGCTTGTACTCTTAATAACAATTTTCGATATTTCGTCAATATCACCCATATATCAATTATCCCCTATATATCACTAGCTGTTTTCTCGCGACTTCGCCCGCATAAATTATAGCCTATATTACCCGCGTTTGATGCAGCTTCCCGAAGGTGTAAGAATTTTTAAAATCTGTTTAGTCTTTTTGGAATCTATTGTCAATCTCTTTGTAAGTTTAGTTTAGATTTAAAATTTAAGTATGTGCATGGAGTGATTTGTAAGTATTGACAGCTTAGTGAGTACTGTATAATTATTAAATCGAAATATATATATTAGGTAAGAAATGTAAATAATAAATAGTTTAATGCAAGAAACAATTGAAGGATAAGAAACTATTAATAAAGATAAAAGTAAAGAAAACATAAAAATTTAAATATAAAAACACATCTAAAAATCCTGCTAAATCTGTCGTCAAAAATAAGTTTGAGTGTTTTAATTACCTAAGAAATTCCGGTAGGTGTTTTCCATGAACAGATCTTTGGGCTTGTAGAAGTGGAATCTGAACGGCAGGAAGATTTTCACATCTGGTCTTTCCTGCAGTATCGCTTTGTCCACTGGTTTTGCCGATTTCAAATTACTGACACACACCGCGTCATTCCTTTTCACGTTGCAGATAGCGTCTAAAGGATTCATGACCTGAATACCGGTAGAAATTATTAAGCATTACACTCCTAATGTTTACTAATTATTTTTATAGCAAATTAATCAATTCGTAAGTATAATAGGTATTACTTGAACAAATATAAATGAAAACTCATTGTTTTAAACACAAAAAAAGCTATGATAGAAACTTAATTATATATACAGTAAGGAATACAAATATTATGAAAATGTACAACCTGTGTCAAATGGTGCAACGTGGTAACCCGCTACTAGGGGCTTTCTGCTAACAACTCTATACACCTTTAGCTAAAAAGTAAAATTAATAAAACTACCGTACGTATTTTAATTCTAATTTATAATAAAATATCAAAACATCTACAAGACCTTACGTGCAATATCTACTTAGGTGGATAATATTTACATTAAAATGTAATTTAATTCTTTAAGGTACAGCGCAGCGCTTTAATAACTAGTCTTTTAAACAAAGTTATTTTAAACGATACACGAACTTTTTTTATATCTAAACAGTTGTTAGTCAACTTTTTATTAAAAAAAAACAATTCGTGCGATTAAGCTCTTATTTTAAATGAATAATGCAGGTGCGAAAATATATAAAAATTAAAATAAAATAGTTTTATTTTTCATATATTTTATTGAATGGTATAAAAATTTACATTTTTTCCTTAAAATAATCGTGGTTTTATTACAAAACATTTTTGTCGCTGCGTAACTAAAAATAGTTGCAGCAATATTTCAAATCAGTTATTTAGTTTATTATACATGTATGATTGACTGTATGTTTAGAACGCGCACATTTTCGTGTAGACTAGGATAGAAAAAAGTACGCCAATCTTTTGTATAGATGGAATCGTAAGAATCCTAAAGGATCATTTTATTTTACACTGGTGTCTATTAAATTGAATTTATGTCTAAAATAGTGGTAACATGAAAATGGTAACACTACGTATAAAATTCTAGTTAGGTATATACAGTCGTCAAAGTTAATTGTGTATTGCAAAGATTCGGAACATTTATAAATTCGTGTATTTACATCTGTCGCAGTTTTCGATTATGTACAATTTACGAATATTATTATTTTTTCTGTCACGTGTTGGGTTAGTAACTGGGTCGAATACTTAAACATCTAAGGTATTTATTATAAAGAACTCTTTAAATATATACACGCAATAAATATCCTTGGTGAAAATTAAAAATGGCAAGTTGTTAGTTACAGAACATACAAGTTCGCATAAGATGGAAGGACACCCAGAGAGGTGTTAGAAATAAAAGATTCAAGAGCCTCATAAGACACATATTAAAGGCGATATTGTCAAAATAATTACAAATATATCACCGAATATGGCATAAAATGATATAGCAGTAATCTCAGAAAATTGGGCATCACCTTTAAATAAAAATCACAAACCGTCATAACTCCCGTTGAATCATTCGAATATAAAATAAACACAAACGGTGAAATCGAGCACTTCGAAACCACCGATCACATCACACAAAACAAACATAAATTTACACTTAGGTAACATAATAAATCAACTATGTACTTCATTTTTGCACAAAAGAACTGGGAAATGTTCTAGGAACCGATTTAGTTAATACCAATTGGAGGTAGGTGGTCTCCGCATGTAGGGAAGTTAGGGGGTACTGGAGGAAGGTCGGCTTGGGTACCAACTTGGAGTACCAAGCTCATACCGATTACGATATGGAAAAGGAAGTGACAGTGAAGGAGCCAGAAGCCAGGATTGTTGGCTCTGAAACGAAGGATGACGTATCCGTTGTTGGGTACAGCGATCGTGTCCTTTGCTGGTGGAAGATCTCCTTGTTTGAGGTGACGCTCGAGCAAACCTCTTCTGTCCAAATCCAAAGCATGTTTTAAGTTGATTTTCTTAACGTTCTGGTCAGGAGAACGTCCGATACCGATGACGTTGTAAGCGTAACCGTGCAAGTGGAATGGATGAGATAAATTAGCGATTTGAACTGGAAAGAAAATATTGAAATCAGTTAACTGCCCTTATGTTTGAATTGTACGTTATTATTAAGAAACGCATAGAGAAATGTATAAATTAAAGCGTACCTTCGTCTACGAGTACAATTTCCACTACAGCGTTTAGCGGGATATCGACTTTATGGGTGCACATGCAGTTTTGTCCACAGTCCGCGGGTCTGTTGTCACCGTTGCAGAATTGTTCGGGATTTATGTCATCATATTGACTTAGTAAAGGTGCAGGGGGAGACATGTAGGATATTTCGTCAATCAAACTGATAACATGGTCGCCTTGTGGTGCCACTGTAAAATAATTCCCAGTTAGGTAACTTCTCATTGAATATTCTAACATTTTGCTATGATAAAATAAATGTTTTTCCTACCTAAATATCTGTTGTATGTATTGGGCTGGAAGAGCATCTCTGGTCTGTACACGAAGAAACGGAAAGGCAAGAAGATCTTTACATCAGGCCTTTCCTGTAGAATAGCTGGGTCGATGTTTCTAGCATTTTTCAGTTGGCTGACGCAAATAGCGTCATTCCTTGGGGCATTACACCTTGCGTCCAATGGGTTCATCACCTAGATGGTTAGTGAGGGAGAAAGGTACGTGCAATTACTAGTATATTACGTGCATATAATACAATACATCTACATACAATTACTACTGAAAGTACTACGATTGTCTTTTAATATCTTCTAATCTACTAACTGATATACGAGTATTTTATTTTGCGTCAGTTAAAATACTACAGTAACAACAACCTCTTGATAAAATAAATGGTTGGATTTTTTTTATAGTTGATGAATATGAGGTGAAATTGAACAGCTTAATGAAAATTTTACAAGTACGAAATGGAAATTGTGACTTATGAGTTATTTACAAATGACAATAATGTATGATTCCATTTACATAATTATAAATGCCTTTCCAATATTCGTAACGAAGTCATTACAGGTAATTTTGCATTTCCACCTCACTAGTACTTAAGTTTGAGCAAGCCATTGCAACGAAATCCAGTAGATTTTATCGAGGTTGTCGTGTCGGCACCAAGAATCTAGTCTGCAATATCCGCTAATTAATAACGGACAAGTACGGTCCTGATTAACTTTGTGTTCCTGTCGAACCTTGAATATTCTAATCTAATAAAAACTAAACTATGTGGTCATCTATTTACAATAATTTCATCTACTTTTAAATCCTTTTCTCACTATAATTACTATGTTACAAGTGTATTGTACATTATTTCTACTACTTACGACTCCTTGAGGAATGCCGACATCGTAAGTTGGCGCTTGTGTTGATGGCTGATAAGGACCTCTCGCGTACCTGAGGATAGCTAGCTGTTGAGCTCTCTTTACGCCACATTCTCCCAGACCTCTCACTTGAATCCAGTATGCACCAGGTACATTATTTGCTTCAATAACAAAATCGTAACGTTCACCTGAAAACGATATGCATAAAGAAGTTAAATCATTAGCTGTTACAATACAGTTAACAGCATAAATATAGAAAATAGGAAATACACGAACGCTGTTATTCAATTTTAATAACCATAATTGCACTGTTTAACTAGCGGAATTTTATTATTTCTTTTTATGATACTGTAAAGATTTATTTGAAACATGGTTAATAAGGTTTCCGATTATTAAATTTTCGTTACTTACCGGAGAAGGAGATAATGGTGTTGACTTGGACAGGTAACACAGGTTCACCATCTGTAGCGATAACAGTAAGGTTGTGGCCTTGGAACGTAACTTGAGCTGGGCATACAGACGCGAAAGCGTTTATCATTCTGAATCTGTATCTCCTTCCGGGCGTAATTGTAAACACTTCTAATGGAGTGTTTGTCATGAAACCAGTGTTGGGGTCTCTGAATTGACCTTTTCCATTGATCAGGACGGATTCTGGATCTTGTCCAGTATTGACGGCCAAACGACCTGGGTACCTCTCGGCGGCGTCTTCGTGCAGCCAGTCACTGATTAACATGACGTGTGTGGTCAAATCGTAATCGTACAAGTGGCTGTTGGGGTCTTTTGATGGAGGCTGACGCACAACAATGCTACCGTATAAACCATCCAACTTCTGCAAGCCGGTGTGGGCGTGCCAAAAGTGAGTACCAGCGTTACCTTGCCATTGGTATCTGTAATTGTTATCATAATTTGAGTAATCTGTAATTGATATCTTTAAGTAATATTTTTAAATGTCGACATAATTTTTAATAGCTTGTTACAACAGATAGTATTACAAACCTAAATGTGTTTCCTTGTTGAATGGGACATTGAGTAACAAAAGGTACTCCATCGTAGTACTGTGATCCTCTTTGCCAGATACCGTGCCAGTGAATTGTCACTTCCATACCTTCCATGTGGTTCTCAACGTCAATTACTACTTTATCGTTTTCGCAGACCTGGATGGACGGTCCAGGCAACATTCTGTTGGCAGTGAGAATACCTCTTTCCACTCCGTCAGCAAGCACACACTGGCAATGCGACCACACGACGTTGGTAGCATTTGGAGTACATACTTGACAAGCTCTGAAACAACATAATTGCAATGTAGTATTACATTAATATTATATTTTAGAAAGTTTGACAGGAAAACTATTCTTATCAATTGGTTTTATTATGACACAATTACTTCAGCTCGTTCGTTTGCTATCATGAAATGGCATGTTTGCCTAAGTTCTGTCGTCATCTATCAATTACGTGCCTCGACGGAATTTGGTTCACTAGCCGTATGCCCACTTCGGCATTGAAACCTGTGTAGTCCGTGTGAAACAAAGCGTAAAATATGTAAAGTGAATAAGTCGGTTTATAGGTCACTTTTTTCTAAAGACTGCACGATTTTCGTGAGTTTAAAAATAATAGATTAAGGGAATCGTGATACAGATGACTAGAAGATTGCGCGTATTGTTAGGTAAGATATTACTTAATTTTTTCTTTGATGTATTATTAGATAAAAAGTATCATTATATATAGATAGAGTTTATCGTTAATTATTGGTCGATTTTATCTTTGTTCAGTTACTTTAAGTGGATTGCAGGTACAATACTATAAAAGGTTATAGAAACAATTTTGTGCACACAATGTCATTGAATGATATGACTCAGATAATTTTCTTTCAGCCTTATTTGTGCCTCCGTTTCCTTTAGATGTAGACATTATACTCGTTAGATATACAGTACATTGTTCGTTACGAGGCATTTATGCCGGAAAGATGATTGCTTGAAAGCAAAAACAAGATTTTCCTCATCAAATACGACCAGAATGCGCCTTTTATTTTTGCCGTATAATCATGTATTCAAAAACAGTTGCTTTATCCTTAATAAATTGTGGCAATACAAGTTTTTTAAATTTCATTTTGAATCAAATTTTTAAATATTCATATTCCGTCTTTGTAATAGTTAAATAAAGTTTAAATTTATTTTGAATAAAGAAATTCGCCAAGTTGTTATAGAGGTCAATAGTATTTGAATAAGTAACTTACGCTCCCAAAACAGTATAGAGTTCGAGGGTGAAGTGGTAATAGCAAATCCTTGGTGGTTCGTTCTCTCTACACGCTCTTGCGCACTCATCAGGAGCGGACAACGCTGGGTTCCTTCTTAACTCGGCTGTCGCACTGCTGGTGAAATCCAAGTGCTTTAGAGAGTTCTTTCCATTCGCACTTCTCGCCAAAGGCGGTAATGGATTATTTCTGACGCCACCGCTGAGCGGACCGCCGCCGCTGGTTTGCGCAAATGGGTTAGAAGATGGTCCAATTGTACTGCCAAATGATGAGAATGGATCATTGAGGCTAGGATGGGTCTGTACCAGCCCGTGTGTTGATGAGAAGGCGTTGCTGCTTGAACTGTCCCTAAATGGAGTCGCAGTACCCGCTTGCCACCATGACGCTGATGTTGACTGATCATCGGCCGAATTTAAAGCCTCTGTGGAATAAAAAAAATACAATTACTATCTCATATAAATAACATTAGGATTATTAGAATAGAAGTAATATCACATTTTGTCAACTAAATGTTGTCCTGGTAAAAACTAATTTATCAGCTTTCAATGTGACTAAAAGACCCTTCAGCAATGTTAGAGAAACATTTATCTAGTTTCGTTACGAAAGCATAGGCATTGAAAATCAAGTTTGCAACTAAGCAAACACCGTCGCGCTCTAAGGACCTATCTGCGATCTGCGGCGTTTTCTCAAGGCATTTGTCAGTAGTCTCGTAATGTATTCGCGTGATAAGTCCATTAGATAGCGTTCGTAACTCGACAGGTGCGCTAATGTAGGTAAATTCCAAAATCCCTTTAACTAGTTCACGGTATATTGAAGCTCTGATGCAACCCCTTTCGTAATTATACAGGGATTTGCGTTTATGTTCCAAACTATACGACATAGTATATTATGTAATATGATCAATCTCTGGAAACAATTGTTTAGTAATATTAGTATACGCTATGGTACGGTAAAGTATATAACAAATTTTTTACACTGTGAATTGAATATAATATTGAAATATGCATCATTGCATTGATTTATGATATTATTTTGTAGCAGGAGGTGGTATCGTAATCTGCATAATTCTGCTTAAAAGTAACATTATCAACAGAGATCATATTGAAAAACTAAATTAAAGAATTTTAGTGTATAAAATACTGTATGATATTTTTTGCGCAAATAATTCTTGGTCTATTTTTTATACCTCTCTACAAACAGATATTGTTGTAGTGTCAATAGCTTGATTTGTCGTAAGACCTTTTTGGAGTCGCTTTAAGTAATACGGAACCTTGAAACGTTTGTTGCAATTTCCTTGTCTATATCGATATCGAGATCTTTATTCACGACTGTCGTGCAAGCTGCTGTTAACAAACACCTATATATATATTATATTTTGTATGGGCATATAAAAAGTTATAAAAATAACGGATAAAAAGTGCTACGGCGTTATTGTAAATTAATGAAGGAAATTACTATAAAAAATATTATAGAAAATTATTAAGCATAACAATTAACACGTAAATTATGATTCTGGTGAATTTCTGTATGAAATTATGTGAAGGTTTACTGATTATAAGGAATATTGAATGTATAAGTACAATTGAGATAAAGCTCAGAATTTCTGTACGACTTCAAAAGACGTTTTGAATTTTATTCTTATCCTTTCCAGTTATTGATGATTTTCGATAATTTGATGTTCAGAATCTTAAAATAATTTTGAAAGAGTAAGCAATAAACATTTATATAAAATTTATGGAACATGAGGTAATTGAAACCATCTCAGAACATAATTAATAGATTTTGACCCAAACTTTACGAAGGATGATTGAATCTATTTGCTCTAAGTAAATCCCGAGTTGACTGAAAATAATAATTTTCTAACTGAAACGTTAACTATTGGTGTGATTTATTAGGCCTGCATAATTTTTGACAGTGATTTAGAATTTCGTTTGTAAATGGTCTTTAATGTGCATCATTATGTCGAATGGTCGTGCCTTATTCTATAATTTGCATAACCCTTTAATTCACAGAATTATTTGCCCTAAACATGCCATCTACTATAGATTTAGACTTACCTTAGGGCTATTTTATTAGTTATGGTCTAGAACAGACCACAGAGTAAATTACGTCTATCTGGTCACAGATTACAAATTAGAATCGGCAGTTAGCGGTTCCTACGTATATGATTCTAGTAATAGTATGTGGAAAGCTTGTATTCTTCCTGTATCTCGATTCGTTGCAAACTAACTTTATGTGCGTCGTAACGTGAACAATGATGGATAATTACGGAAAAAAATCGTGACGAATTCCTAATGGGAAACATATTGCTCTTACGTTTAAGACAATAGGCGCGTGGTAGATAGCTTTTTATTCGATTATATGGTCTCACTGTTTCTTTGTTGCATTTTTAACAGATCCACTATTTTAATATTATGTCACGCGGTTTGCATAACATTCCTCTATTATAATCCAATACATCAATATGTCGTTCTTAATTTGTCATTAGAAATCAGATTTATTACAGATTTTTTGTGACGCGAATTCTTTGCAATGCTTCTTTTTTTTTTAATTACGATTATGTTTTGTGTCGCTCTTGTTCACTGAAACATAAATTTTATTACGTAATTCTTAGAAATTATGATATTAGTTGCTTTTTAATTCACTGTTACGTCGTTGTGATGGATGGCCATTTACAATACGCACACACGGATTACAAAAAGATTGATGTAGTTATAGCCAATGGTCTATGAACACTCTTTGTATGGTAATTTTTTATTGCAGACATTTTATCAACTTTGCATTTGCATTGTTATATTAATGAAAAATGCTCAAAATCCACATGCCTAATCTACAACATATCTCAATATTAATAACATAAATCGATTTAAATCTTAAATGATTTTATGTTTTATTAAATGATAATCAAAATGCTTGCAAGTTCTTTGTATAAAAACATAATTGTTCAATTTTGGAACTTATGACAGATTTAATTCAATAATGGAACGACATCTGTGAAATGGCCTGCTGAAGTGAACTTTGGCATCTTCTTTGTTTTTTTTTTTTACTTTAGTATTTATATTGTAGCTTGGTTCTTTACTTATGCTGTATGTCATCCTACTTTTATTCTAATTTTTAAAATATTTTATGGGTAGGTACATCTATACTAACATTATAAAGAGGACAGTTTTGACAATAAAATTTTAATTGTCTGCATCGAATAGGTTCTGTAACTGTTTTTTTTTTATCTCTTACCAACGGAACGCTACATACGGGAAGTAACATACACCACGTCTCTGAACTAAGAATTTAAAGTCAAGAGAACTTCTCAATCAGTACTTAAACAGAGTTTTCTTTCTGATTTTAGTTAGATTAATGATCAGTTGATAGCAGTTTGATGAGATTTTTTGATTTACGAATCGTAAAAAATTTAAGTTACTGAGAATAATCAGTTCAGATTTTGTACTTTTCACAGTTCAGAAACCGGCTTTTAGGCTATAATTTACGGAGGTGAAGCCGTGGGATAACAGTTAGTTGTCAATAAATTGAAATAGTATTGTTCTGAACCTGAATCTATATTGAAAGTTACAATATTTCGTAGGTGTCTGTAATGCCCATTGTTTATTATTGAAACACAATTATATGGCCCACGAACGTATCAAATTGAATTGATAGCCAATTCTCCTACGTGAAATCATTAGCTAGAGGTTAAATATGAAAGTCTATCCACAATATTAAATAGCTTGGCATGAAATACAAACAGGAACCTCTTGTTGGTATACAAATATTGTTTCAAATGATGGCGTATATATGAATTTATTAAGTTTGTTTATTAATATGAACATTTAGCTGATGACAGACAGCTACTATCTTGATATAGTTTTTAGTGTGCAATTTTATGCATCTTTTTTATTTATTCAAATAAATCATAAATCTTCTTTACTGGGAGTAATAATCAGTCGCAATTCAAGACTATTTTCGCTATATCGTTTGAGGTAGAAGTTTTCTCTAATTACAAACTGTAATTGCAAAAAAAATAAAATAAAATTACAAACAAATAAAGGAAAAAAGCGAGATGTTAAGAACCCGGTCTTGTACAATTTTATCGAACTTTTGTTATTTGTGCTAGATAGTGTGCTTAAAAGGAACTTATTAATAATTTGAAAAATAACGTCGTCCGAAATAGTTTGGAGTAGTTTGCCCTTTGTCGAATTAAAAAGACGACATAGTATAAAACAAAGTCGCTTTCTGTCTCTATATCCCTACGTACGTATAAATCTTTATCTCTACGCAACATATTTTGATTTCATAGATAGGGTGATTAAAAAGGAAGGTTTTAATGTATAATACAAGACCACACGGGCAAAGCTGCTGGCGGAAAGCTAGTAGATTATAATTTATTAGTGAGAAGTCGCGGAAAAAGCAATAGTGTTTGTGATAGTCTATGGTCTTTTTTTCCCTTTTTATGGATTTTTGTCAATAAATTTAAGTGTACATATAGCAAATGGTTAAAATTTTAGAAACGTGATGGCTAACACATTGCATATAAATATCATGATAATTAAAATTATATATAAACCATTCATGTAAAGTTTTGCAAGTTATGCATGATTAAAAAAAATTCTTAATAGTTAAAAAATATTTACAATTTATTTAGTTATCTTAGAATGTGATATAGAATGTCGAAGTAATTTCTTCCTTATTTGAACTAAAACTAATGGCGTCAAAACTGTATCAATGCTCTTACCGTAAAATGCATTTTATGGCGTTTGATATTGCAAATAACTACGTAGTTCTCCCTTAAATGTTTTAGTATAATTTAGCAACTCTATTTGAAACACATTAGGAATTACATATTAGAGCATATTTTAAAGCCTGGAATTTCCTGTGTGTCTTTTTCTCGTTTGTTTTTTGTATATATTTAATGAAATCCTAAATGTTTCTACGCTAACATTTTCTTTCTACGTTCCCGTTATGTGATACACAAAAAAAATTGAATGGTATCCTATTCAATGTGTAATGTGCTGACTACAACGTTTTACTGCGCCGATGGTTTAGTATAATGCTTTTTGTTATATAAAATGTTGATATAGTTTCGATTCACCTTAGAATTAGTAAGTGAAAAGGTTGTTTTTCTTCTTTCCATTAGAATTAAATAGAAAAAATATAGAAATATAGATTTCTGTTTCTTAGACGATAAAACCAAAAATACTTATAAAAAAACAATGTGAATTTAGATACGAACTTCATAGTAAAAATGTAAATATAGTCGAGAACAAATATATTGACCGTAAAATTGCTTTAAAAATATTTGGAGTTATTTTCGTGATTTTTTTATCCAAGTATTAAAAAAGCTTATTATAAGGTATCCCATTATATAACAGATAAGACTAAAGATGATCCAGCAACTGGATAGGTGATTTCTTCTAAACTCATCATATT